CACCTACTATAAGGGAGAAAAATATTTATTTCAAAGTTTAAAGTGTATATTTACTTTCAACTAATCATCATCTTCAAAGCTGTCCGTGTCCTGATCCGAATCCACTTTTTTGTCTTCATCAATTAATTCATTTTCAAGCTCTTCTGCTTGGGCGTCTGATTTTTTGAAGACATCTTCAAATCTTTCCGCCTCACGATAGAATCCTGAAGAGGTTTCTGGATCTAACGCTGCCATCCACTGTGAGGACAACGTTTCCACTTCACTGAGACGAAAGTTGACGTTATTGTCACGTACGTAATTTTTCATATTAGACCAGGCAATTTCAATAGGATTCAGACAGCAATGTTTAACCGGCAGTCTAAAATGAGGATGAAGATGCTATATGCTTTGTAACGCGCAAAAGAGGATACCGCTCACCTCAGGATTTTAATATCGAAAACTCGCGCAGCTTCATCCACAACATATTTCTTTTTGGGCACATTAGAAAATGCTAATTCCAAGAGTTCAGCTTTGCTACAAGGTAAAGTAAATGCGATATCTCTCGATTCTAGCCATGCTATCAGTTGAGTTTTATTCCAAGCTCTTTTTGGAGGCATTGTATCATCCGTAAGCTTGTTGTGCCACGGAGCGTTATCAATTATAATCGTAATTTTCGCGTTTTTTCCTTCAAAAAAACCTTTTATGTAAAAGACGATTAAAAATAACCCTAAACAACTTACCATGCTCATTCCGTAAATAGGAAGATGTCCGAGAGATCCAGCTAACAAAGTGTTCGCTGTTCATGCTGTGCTCCTCTGTGCATTTGAATATTTCAGCAGTAGGGTGAAAACCGTTGTTGCTTATCAGAGCTGAAACAGCGACTCGTGCCCCTAAAAAAACAGCTGCTAAATATGAATTTCTTTTCTTATAGGAGAAAATCTCACCTCTTGTTTCATTCTTTTTCAAACGACCAGCCCCCGTTTCACCGTCTGTCCATATAAACTTTCTCTCTTCTCCACTGTTACACCAGGTCTCGTCATGATAGTAAATAAAAGTACCGTCTTGACGTATTTTATCGAGTTCCCGAAAATATTTGGCTCTTTGAGCCATGTACGAAACGCCGTCCAGCGGAATTTTGACCTTTGCGGTCTGTTTATACTCGAATCCCAGCTTTTTCATCCACCTCCAAAGCGTGGTTCGTGACTTTACCGGAAAATCTGGATCAACCTGTAAAATTCTTTCTAACAGGCGTTCTGTGGTCGGGTAAATCTTCTCTGCCAGACAGAGATGAAAATGATATCTGTTCGAAACAAACCGAAAGTTCGCT